GAAAGAAGGGGGGGGGGGGCATAGTGGGGGGGGGGCAACAACGCGGGGATTTGATTTCGTGCTGAACGACGTTAGGGTGCGTCTCCGAATGGCCGCGAACGTGCCATGAACCGGATGATCTCCTATCTTTCTCTATCTTTCTCTGTCATCGATGCTTCCGATTGTTCCGAATACATAGCTCCCTCCTTACGCCGGTCGAATCCATTTGTCCATGGCTCACGGCGATCCCAAAAAAGTCTCTGACCATCATCTGTTTGGCGTTTCATCTCTGTCCTTCCGTGCCGTTTCTCTGTCCCTCGGCTTCTCACAAATTGTTATATTGTGAAATTTGTCTGTATACATTTATATTTATATATCTACATACGTATATCCTCTGCAGCGTACGTGTATATACACATGTACACACATGCGTCTGTCCTTTCTCCGTAGTTATTTATACATGTATATATATTTATGTATATATATATATATATGTATATATATATATATATATAGAGATTTTTTTTTTGTTTCGCATCGATAATCATTAACATTATTGTTGCCGTTGTCCTCTCTCGTTATTTTTACATTTATATTTATATTTATATGTATGTATATCTATATTTATTTATATATATATATTTATATTTATATATATATATATCAATAATTATTGTTATTATCGTCATTATCTTCCCGCTATAATTATTAAATACGTTAACAATGGTCGCAGGCGTTACGTAAAATAATTATATATCTTGACGCGTGTTGTCCATCAGGCGAGTCAGTACGATCCTCTCGTCTTAATTAGTTCGTAATAATAACGGTTCGTGTACTTGTAAAGTTTCCGCTTAATATGCAAATTGTACTAAAAAGAACGGAGAAGGCGTCCCCAACGAAAATCGACCTTAGAACAAGCTTTTTAGGAATCCGGCGGGACCCGCCTGCTTTTCATCCGGTTCCGTGGCCGTAACATTCGGAAACGCACAGTTTTCGTGTGGGCATCGGTTTTAGTTTTCACGACAGGTTCGTCACGATTACACGGGGTCACGACGTGGATAAGACAGACAAACGAACGAACGAACGAACAAACAAACAAACGAATAAACACAGACAGACAGCAAACACATCGAGCAAGCAGATAACGCGAGCGTGTGCGCGTGTCGTGTCCAGGAGCAGCGTGGAAATTCAAGAAGACAATTAATTAGTCACGATCTTGCGAACAGAATGTTGAAGAATTAGTATTTGTCATTTCATAGATCAGTTTTGGGCGTGACAGAGAGTAGAAGGGGAATCCGGAGTTGCATACTGACCTCTTGTTGCTGTGCAGTTGCGGCTTGTTTCAACTTGACTTGTGCGGCTTTTAGTGCACTGCGGACAAAGTAATGTGTTTCGATTAATCCCGATCGAATTTGTAACTAGGCTGGACGACCACTTGGACCGTATACTACTGTGATCAAAAAGTAAGGTGAAATTGTCATTTAAAACTCCCGGACATTAGGAAGGCAGGCAATTGTTTTTTTCCTAGGTTGGTAGGACTGTCTATAACAATTGCCAAGCGTCTGTTTGTTAAAAGGTTTAATTATCTCCGAGTTACACGTGTTTTAGTAAACGACCAAAAGTGAATTTTTCGATTTTTACAATGGGTGATTTTGTTGAGCAAAGAACTTGCATCAAATTTTGTTTGCGGAACGAATATTCTTGTGCGGACACGTTGAAAATGTTGCGGAAGGCCTTTG